ATAGTCGCCCTGCTGTGCAATAGAACAACAGATTTTTTTTAAATCGAGTCTCACTCTGTCACCCACACTGGAGTGCAGTGGTGTGATATTGGCTCACTGGAACCTCTGCCTCCCGGGTTCAAGCGATTCTCCTGCCTCAGCCTCCTGAGTAGCTGGGACTACAGGCACCCACCACCAAGCCCAGCTAATTTTTGTATTTTTACTGGAGATGGGGTTTCATCATGTTGGCCAGGCTGAGCTCGAACTCCTGACCTCAAGCGATCCACCCACCTTGGCCTCCCAAAGTGCTGGGATTACAGGTGTGAGCCACTGTACCCAGCCAAAACACCAGAATTTATTCATTTTGTCTAATAATAACTTTGTACCTGCTGACCAACCTCTTCCTATCCTCTCTCCCCCATCCTCTCACCAGTCTCTGGTAACTACTGTTCTACTCTCTGCTTCTATGATATCAATTCTTTTTTGTTTTTGAGATTCCACATATGAGTGAGATCATGTGGTCTTTGTCTTTCTGTTTCTGGTTTATATCCCTTAACATGATGTTGTCCTCCAGGTTCATTCATGTTGTTGTAAGTGACAGGATTTCATTCTTTTTTTTATGGCCAAATAGTATTCCATTGTGCATATGTACCACATTTTCCTTATCTATTCATCTGTTGATGGACACCTAAGTTGATTCCATGTCTTGGCTATTGTGAATAGTCTTGCAATAAAAATGGGAGCGCTGATATCTCTTCCACGTACTGATTTCATTTCCTTTCGATATATACCAGTAGTAGGATTGCTGGATCAGATGGTAGTTCTATTTTTAATTTCTTGAGGAACCTCCATACCATTCTCCATAGTGACTATACTAATTTACTACCTCACCAACGGTATGAAAGTAGTCCCTTTTCTCTACATCTTTGCCAACTTATCTTCTTTTGTCTTTTTGATTAAAGCCATTCTAGCTGAATTGAAGGGGTATCTTATTATGCTTTTGATTTGCATTTCCCTGATGATGAGTGATGTTGAACATATTTCCCCTCCCTCCCTTTCGCCCTCCCTCACTCCTTCCTTCCTTCTTCCTTTCTTTCTCTCTCTTTCTCTCTTTCTCCCCCTCCCTCCCTTTCTTCCCTTCCTTCCCTTCCTTCCTTTCCTTTCATTCCTTCTCTTCCTTCTCTTTTTTTGAGACAGGGTCTCATTCTGTCACCCAGGCCAGAGTGTGATGGCACAATCCTAGCTCATTGCAGCCTCAAACTCCCAGGCTAAAGTGATCCTCCTACCCCAGCCTCCCAAGTAGCTGAGATAACAGGTGTGCACCACCATGCCTGGCTAATTTTTTTATTTGTTTAGGGACAGCAGTCTTGTCATGTTAACCAGGCTGGTCTTGAACTCTTGAACTCAAGTGATCTTCCCACCTTGGCCTCTGGGATTACCGGTGTGAGCCACGGTGCCTGGTGAGCCTTTTTCCATATACCTGTTGGTCAGTTGAATGTCTTCTTTTGAGAAATGTCTATTCAGGTCTTTTGCCCTCCCCTCCCCCACTTTTTTTAAGAGACGGGGTCTTGCTTTGTTGCCTAGGCTAGAGTGCAGTGTGCAATCATTGTAGTCTCAAATTCTTGAGCTTAAGTGATCCTTCCATCTTAGCTTTCCAGGAAGGTGGAACTACAGGCGTGTGCCACCACATCTGGCTAATTTTTAATTCTTTTTGTAAAGATGGGATCTTGTTTCTTGCTATGCTGCCCGGGCTTGTCTTGAACTCCAGTTCTCTGATTTTTAAAAAAATCATAAGTAGATGTTGAATTTTATCAAATACTTTTTCAGCATCTATTGAAATAATTATGTGGAGTTTTTACTCGTTTGTTAAGGTTGAGTTTCTAATTTTAAACCATATTTTCATTATTAAGCTAAAACTCAGGGCCGGGCGCGGTGGCTCACGCCTATAATCCCACACTTTGGGAGGCCGAGGCAGGCGGATCACGAGGTCAAGAGATCGAGACCATCCTGATCAACAAGGTGAAACCCCGTCTCTACTAAAAATACAAAAATTAGCTGGGTATGGTGGCACGTGCCTGTAATCCCAGCTACTTGGGAGGCTGAGGCAGGAGAATTGCTTGAACCCAGAAGGCAGAGGTTGCAGTGAGCCGAGATCGTGCCATTGCACTCCAGCCTGGGTAACAACAGCAAAACTCCGTCTCCAAAAAAAAAAAAAAAAAAGCTAAAACTCAACTTGGTTGTGGTAGATCATATACTGCAGGATTCAGTTTCTTTGTCTAGAATTTTAAAACTTATTTCCACATCTTGTATCATACTTTTCTTGGCTCATTGTAGTACATCTATTAGTCTAGTAAAATAAGTTTGGAGACATTTCTTTCTTTTCTGTGTATAATTGGAATTGCTCACTCATTAAAGATTTGGTAGAAGTCATCCGTAAAGCCCTCTTCGTCTCTCTCTCTCTCTCTCCCCACCACCCCGTGTGTGTGTGTGTGTGTGCGTGTGTGTGTGTTTGTGTGTGTGACTCTGTGTAGGGCAGTGGGTAGGTTTTTAAATACATAGTCAATTTACTTTCCTAGGAATTTATTCATTTTGCTTGTTTTCAAATTTACTGACACACAGTTCATAATAAAACCTTTTAATGAGTAATATAATTTACTTTTCTCTTTATATCCAGCTTGTTAGAGGCTTGGCTTTTGCTTTTCAGCATTTCAAAGAAGCAGTTTTAAAATTTTCTCCATTCTTTCTATCATTTGTTTCTATTTCATTAAGTTTTGTTCATCCTTATTTTTCTTTCTTCTACTTTTCCAGGTTTACTCTGTCATTTCTTTATGGCTTCTTGAACTGGATGTTCAGCTTGATGACTGCTTTAGCTGCATCCCTGTACTTTAGCATCACACACCCAATGGCTTACTCAACATCTTCACTTTCACAGTACTGGGCACCCCAAGCTTAATATGGCCAAAGCAGAACTCTTGATCTACACATCTGAAAATGTACTTTTTCTGTAGTTCTCCTCACCATGGTGAAAGGCACCCTTATTTCCCCAGGTGCTCAGGCCCCAATCTCAGGTATCATCCTTGTTTCTTCTCTTTCTCTGTGCCTTACATCCAATCCTTTTGTTCAATTTTGAAAATATATCTTGAATCTCACAACTTCTCAGAGCTGCACTGCTACCATTGTAGTTAAAGCCACCATCATCTCTCTCTTCCAGGGCCTTGTGCCATAGTTCTGTCCCATCACATCCAGTTCTCCACTCTACACCTGCAACATAGATCAGAGGATGGCAGGTCCTGGCTCAAAATCCTCTGAGGGTTTCTCATGTTGGAATAAACTCTCGGTTCTGGCTGGGCACAGTGGCTCACGCCTGTAGTCCCAGCACTTTGGGAGGCCAAAGCAGGCAGATCACTTGAACTCAGAAGTTTGAAACCAGTCTGGGCAACATAGTGAAACTTCATCTCTCCCCAAAATACAAAAACTTAGCCAGGTGTAGTGGTGCGAATCTGTGGTCCCAGCTACTCAGGATGCTGAGGAGGGAGGATTGCTTTGAGCTCAGGGTGGATGTTGCAGTGAGGCAAGATTGCACCGCTGCACTGCAGCCTGAGCAACAGAATGAGACCCCATCTCAAAATAAAATAAAAGAATTAACTCCCAGTTCTCATAGTGGCCCCAGCTGCCTCTCCAATCACATTCCGTACCACTCTCCAGCAACACTGACCTCCTTGTTAGTCCCCAACATGCCAGGCATAGACTCTCCTCATGGCCTTTGAACTTGCCTGGAATGTTCTTTCCCCAGATATTCATATGGGGGAGGAAAATGAGGGTGAAAACCAGTAGCTATCTAAATAGCATTCCCTTCACTCTTACTTTATCTTTCTCAAAGCCTTTATCACTATGTGAAATTATATGTTAGACTTATTTGTATGCTAGTATGACTCTTCCCGGCAAGAATGTTAGTTTGCTGTCTGTTCAGTCCTGTGCACCCAGAACCTGGAAGCGTGCCTGGCACATAGCAGGTAGTCAATAAATGAATGGGGGCAGGCAGCCAAATCAGAACCAGGTTTTCTTGCTAAGCACGGAACTAACACAAAGATCATTGCATGGATTGGATAATGACTGGCATCAGGGTAAGGTCCCCTTAACAAACATTCCTGTCCTGAACACCTGGTTGGCTAACACTTTTTCCATACTCCTATTTTCCCAAAAACACAGTTGCTGGATCTCAGCTCCAAATCAACTCTTCTAGGAAAGTGAAAAACTGCTGGATCTCAGCGCCCAAATCACATCTTCCAGGAAGACTTAAGTGCAGCTTTCTCTGTGCTCCTTATTCACACCTCCACCAAACCATCTGATCCAACAATGACAGGTGTCACGAGGCCTTGGCATGCACTCTCTTCCCCCGCCGGAGTTCTGCGAAGGCCAGGGTTGGGATTTGTTGTCAGTTTATTCCCCGCCCCTATGAGCGTAAGCACCCGGCAGGCTCAGATGAAATAATGCAACGAGTAGGCCTCTGAAACCAAGGCCCCTCAGCTGGAGCAACGTCAGGCTCCAGGGCGGGCAACTTTGCAGCTTCTGCTGAAGATGGTGAGAATGAGAAAATGCGAGTGCAATGAAACCGTTTTCCAGCGCACTCGGTGCATCTGCGGACTGAGGGTCAATAGCCCCTCAGGGCCGCGCAAACAGTTGTCCCAAGCCTAGGCCTTCACTTGCCCCAGCATCCGCAAGGGCCCATTAATCCTTAACATTCAAATTCCGCCCACTAAACCAGCCCCTCCGCGCCCAAGCCGCCTCTTTTCCCCAAACGACGGCCGAAAGCAGCCAATGAACAGCTAGAGGGGTCTGCCCCCTTCTCCCTGGCCGAAATGGACAGAAAATCTCGCCAATTGACGACATCACCGCCGAGACTCCCCGCCCCAAGCCGGCCACCCCAGCCAATGACGGGTAGGCTCGCAGCTGCGCCGGGGGCGGGGCGCGGGCGCGCAGGTGCAGCAGCGCGCGGGCCGGCAGGGAGGGCGGGGCGCGACGTCGGCCGTGCGGGGTCCCGGCGTCGGCGGCGCGCGCGCTCCCTCCTCTCGGAGAGAGGGCTGTGGTAAAAGCCGTCCGGAAAATGGCCGCCGCCGCCGCCGCGCCGAGCGGAGGAGGAGGAGGAGGCGAGGAGGAGAGACTGTGAGTGGGACCGCCGTGGCCGCGGGCGGGGACCCTTGCTGGGGGGCGGGGGACAGGGGCGGGACGTGGCGCGGGAGGGGCCCGCGGGGTCGGACGACACGGCTGGCGGATGGCGTCCCTCCTCTCTACCCTCCCCCTCCCTTCGCCGGTGGCGACTCTCCCCCTCGGCCCGTCACCCGTGCTCGCGGGTGACCGTCCTCGGCTCGGCCTCCCTGGAGCCTCCTTCGCCTGGCGCACCTCTTCCTCCCGCCCTCGGCGCGCATCGCGGCCCCCGGCCCCGCGGGCGCCCCTGTCGCCGGGGCTTCGCCTGTCGGGGCTGCGCGCGCTCCTGCCCTTCTCGGGGCTTTGGGCCGCGGCGTCGCGCGCCCGCGGCCCCGGTCTCTCCCTGGATCGCGCTCTCCCCTCTCCCTCCCTCGCGCGCCCCCTCTCCCGTTACTCGGCCCCCCCACCGGCGCGCGTGCGCACTTCGCCTCCCGTCGGGAGAGTGCGCCACAAGGGCTCCTGCGCTCTCACCCCCATCTCCGGGCTTTGCCTCCCCCTCCTTCTCGCCCATTCCATGAATTTCTGCCCCCACTGCGAGCGAGTCGGTCCACCGGCTCCTTTCCCCATCTAGCAGGAACAAGTAGGTGGGAATTATTGTCCGCAGAAGGGACTAGACGTTGTGTTCTGGGTCCCACAACTCATCATTAAAGAGGTGGTTATAGTTCCCATCAGGAGCCGTGGGTAGGGGACTGTGCGTCCAGCAGCACCCGAGGCTCTTCGGCGCCTGAGGCTCTTCGGTGTGAGCGTGTCCCCAGGGTGCTCAGAGGTTCTTTGGGGGTGCTGTGGCCTCGGAATGTGAGCACCCTCCCATCCTACCCCCCCTTCGCCGGCGATCTTCCAGTTACATAAGTGGAGTGGGACATAGTAGGTAACGGGCTCTCATCGCCCTGGAGCGCTCCGGATCGCCGGTACGACATGGGGCAAGTTCATCGCGACGCTGTGGCTGCTGTTCATTGTGCCCGAAAGGTTATTCTCTGTTCAGTTTGGTTATGACCGAATCACCCAAACTGAAACTCAGATGACTTTTATGTGGCAGTGGCAATGTTTCCGTGGTTTTGTATTAGAGACTTAGGGTCATTATGAAGAGTTTAAAAGGGTTGCTCTCATAGGGGAGACTGTTTATGACATTGATAAGTATGGACCCCGAGGAGGAAAAAGCTCATTCTGGAATCGCTCTTTGGGGGTTGCTTCTGTTGTGAGTGTGTTCGGGTGTGGGTCGGTCACAGCACAAATGGGCTCCACCACAAAATTGATATTCCTGACTCATGGTCAGGCAGATGTGTGCTTCTGGTTATTTTTCCAGGAACAGGAATGCGCTCTGCCGAGCCTTTCACAGGTTCTCTGTATGCTGTGTGGGATCAGTGCCCCAACTGTTGAGATAACAGGATCGAATTCAGGGGTTGGTTGGTAATCCAGGAACCAAACCTACTTGGATGTGGTATTGAGTGGCTTGAACATTGTAGGACTCTTCTAAGTTTTAGGCATTTTGTTATGCTGTAAAAATGAAGCATATACGGCCTCGGTACTATCATTGCAGTACTAGGTAATTATCACTCTGGAGAATTTTGGATTCCGTGCCTGGGATGTTCATCTGTGTCTCAGCAATTTCAGTTAATAACCAGAGTCAGCTGACCTCTTGGGTCTTTTGAAATATGCTAGGTCCCTATAAGAAGACAGGGTCTGGATTTTTTCATCTTTTGGGAATTTCCACCAAGGATTTAGGAAAATAGGCTTATTTATGGGCTTTTCAGGATTTCTGTTTCAAATCCCAGTCAGGAAGTCTAGGAAGCACTTGCTTTTATTTTCTTACCTGAATATGTAAGAACCTTCAATAACACAATCAATCTAGAAGTAGTAAGTACAGTTATTAAAATAAGTCACCAGAGGTCACCCATTCGTGGCAGGTCAGCTAGGTGGCTGATCACTGCAATACAGTCACATCCCCAGGCAGATACACAAGCCTCACTTGCTGATTGCAAAGTTTGTACATCTCAGCTTGAGACATGACAAGTTGAGGTCTCTGCTTTGTTCTTCATAGTTGGCAGTTTGTCTCCCTGGTACCCCTCCAGTTAGCTGTTTCTCACACGCCTAGCCCTTTCAACAGCGCAGGCAGCTTCCAGAGTATAGTTTTCTCTGCAGAGTGCCTGTTGGAGGGGTACCTCCCTTTCCATTGTCCTAATGGCTTGAAGAAACGGTAGATGGCTTTCTTGTTAGCACTGGCCTACCAAACCTTTCTATTGCCTGTTATTAAAATTTTGCCTGGAATGCTTTAAACTTAGAGTACTGGGTCTTTGTTTCACCTGATTGATAGGACAGTATCATGCAGTCAGCCGTATTCTGACTTTTGTGCTGTTGAAATCCTGAGGTAGGTCTGGGACCAAGCACAGACCACTGTGTGTTCAAAGGGTTATGGTGCTTGCATTCTGTGTGTATGTGTTTGTGATTTCCAACCAGAGTCGTTTCCCGTGCCTGCCCTGCCTCTGTGCAGTCTCATCTAGCGGGGCAGGGAAGCATGCTGTGGAGTTTGGGGGAAAAAAAAAAACAACAAAAAACTGGCTAGATGAATTTAATAGGATGTTGCCCCTCCAGAACATTCCTCCCATGTGGAGATGGAACGAGAAGTTCATTTCTTTAACCTAAAATAAAGAACAACAGAGAGAAAATTGTTAGTTCCTTACTGGAGCCTGGTTTCCACTGCGAATGTACCTGCTTGGGACTCTGCATGATAAATGACATGTCCTGGAACCTGAAATCTTTTATTGAGGCTAATATCAGCAGAAATCTTTTAATTAGCTAAGAGCAGTTTGTTCTCAGGCTGCCCAAGTTATCTCGGAGGAGGAGAGAATCTCCGAAAATGTTTGGTATTTCTAGTAACCAGTGTTTTCAGTCTGTGGGGTAAAGCACAGTCCTAGACTGGCCAGTTTCAAAGAGTGTGGCAGGAAACCTGCTTGTTTTCCCTGCCCTCTGCTATGGCGGCATCCACGCAGACCAGTCTTTCGTGCCTGGCAGACGCGATCTTTTTTTCTTGGGTAGAGCATGATCGCAACTGCGATGGAAGGACCTTGTCCTGAGTGCTTCCATACCAGCCCTGTCCAGTGAAACTCCCGCTGTCCCACCAAGCCCCTGTGCGTGTGCATCATTCCGGGTAGGACAAGATGTGAACAGGTCCCTTTTCTTTCGGCTTGTTTAAGTAGAAGTTGTGCTCTTCTGTTTTTACCTGTTCTCTTCTGCCTTTCTCTTGCAAGAAACCTTTTCCTGTCAAAAGCTTGGTTTGCGTGCTATTGCTTAAATACTTTGGTTCCACCACTTTGATGCTGTGTATGGTGTGTGGGATAACTGAGTGGGAGCCGGAACTGGGGGGTAGACAGGGCATCCCCACTCCCACATTAAAGGGGGAATGACCGTTTCATTAGAGAATAAAGCCTGATATAACTTCTTCAAGGCACATGTATGCTGAGTCTGCTGGCGTGTGAATGTGTCCCTACTGTGATGTCTGGCTGTTTTGCAGTTACTGTAGGTACTGTAGTCTCTGCTCTCATTATTGCTCCTGAAGCTGACAGGACCAAGCCTTAGTAAGGACACACTTGTCTTCCTTGCCTAAGAGCTAGGGGTAGTGGGGGTGTGTGTGTGTGTATGCATTTTCTTTATTAGGTTTCACCAACTGCTCTATTTTCTGACTTTTTGACATGAAATCTTAATCAATTATCTTAAACTTTAAAAACTAGAAGGATCCTTACTCTAGCACCATCAGTTTACAAACAAAGAAAAAAACTTGTTTGTTTTTTTGTCCCTGGTAAGTTGTGACTTTCAGGGCCTCCTAGGCAGGATACCGGTTTGGATTTTTTTTTTCTTTTTTAATATAGCTAACCAAGTAATACTATTAACTTGAATTCTGGGATTTCAAAGCATTCAATGACTTAACTGTTTAAGGGAATTGAGTCCTCACTGAGCTCAAAACATAATTTTGGGTACTATCCTGGTATCTGTAGAGCAGCAATAGACCAGTAAAAGACTTGGTTGGTGTTGCCCTTCTTCTGGGTTTGATTACATGAGTAATTGTGTGAATAGTCTCTAAGTTGTACATTCTGATCTTTTGGTTTTAGCCTAAAGATAAAAGTGCCGGGCCGGGCACAGTGGCTCATACCTGTAATCCCAGCACTGATCCACGAGGTCAGGAGTTCGAGACCAGCCTGTTGAAATTCCGTCTCTACAAAAAATACAAAAATTAGTTGGGCACAGTGTTTCCCGGGATGGGGCGGGGGATGCCTGTAATCCCAGCCACTCAGGAGGCTGAGGCAGGAGAATCGCTTAAAGCCAGGAGGTGGAGGTTGCAGTGAGCCAAGATGGCGCCACTACACTCTAGCCTGGGTAGCAGAGCAAGACTACGTCTCAAAAAAAAAAAAGGCTGGGCACAATGGCTCACGCCTGTAATTCCAGCACTCTGGGAGGCTGGGGCGGGCAGATTATGAGTTCAGGAGTTTGATACCATCCTGGCCAACATGGTGAAACCCTGTCTCTACTAAAAATATTTAAAAAAAAAAAAAAAAAAAAAAGCTGGGCATAGTGGTGCATGCCTGTAGTACCAGCTACTCAGGAGGCTGAGGTAGGAGAATTGCTTGAACCCAGGAGGCAGAGATTACAGTGAGCTGAGATTGTGCCATTGCTCTACAGCCTGGGCAACAGTGTGACACTCTGTCTCAAAAAAAAAAGTGCTACTCTTGGGCCAGCATAGTATCAGAAATTAGCTAGTTAATATGGGGCACTTTAGGTTTTAGAAAGGGAATGATGGTTATCTTAATGACAAAAAAGGTACTGACAAAAGGCCTTTTTTGAACCTGGGTTCAAAAGCAAAAGAGAAACTATCAAACTAGTAACTCAGTTTGTTAAACATCAAGATTGACTGATCTGAGAGGCTTAAAAGTGATTGCTCTGAAATAGACTTGCATGTTTTGGATGATGGCTTTGGGTCTCCTAGAGCACTTGGTTTCCCTTGGTGCTGATTTTTTTCTCTCTGGATTAAATCCCCTTTACGTGATGTTACAGCAGCTCATTGCAACTTCATTCAGCTGCTTGAAAAAGAAGGGAGACCGCCTCTAGGTTCCATGTGGTCTTTCAGGGATGGTATTTTGATGTTGCATATTCTCTTGAACATGTATTCTCTCCCCAAGAATTTCTGTGATGTGATGGAAGAAATACTTGCCAGAAATCACCACTTTTCTATGCTTTTATAGTGTCAAAGGGTCCCCTGGAGGTGACAAGACTTGTGATAGTGTTGATTCTAACAAGCATGAATCTTTGCTTTATTTTAGCACTGTGTTATGTGCCAGTAATTTGCAGTTTATCCTTTGTTTCTAGCTAGGTAAGCTGGGAAATAGCATAGTATTTGTCTATGTGTTTATCTTCAAAATGTCCCAAGTAGCCCTGGGAAAAAGGTCGTGCAGCTCAATGGGGGCTTTCAACTTACAATTTTCTTTGTTTTAGGCTCCATAAAAATACAGACTCACCAGTTCCTGCTTTGATGTGACATGTGACTCCCCAGAATACACCTTGCTTCTGTAGACCAGCTCCAACAGGATTCCATGGTAGCTGGGATGTTAGGGCTCAGGTAAGTAACCTTCCTTTTTTTTTTTTTAGTATATGTCCTGGTTTGGCCATCTGTTTTTAAAAAAAAAAAAGGAAAAAAGATATACTACTCTTGGACAGTATAAAAGTACCCCAAAGACTAAAGACATAACTGTGCCAAACTGTGCCATATAATAAAAAAAAGTCACTTCCCTGAGCCCTCAAAGGTCAGTTTGGGTAGGGTTACTTGGTAGCCATAGCGTGATCTGGGGGCGGGAGTCAGATTAGAGCCGGAACTGGTGATCTGCAACTTCAGTTCACCTTGAAACAGATCAGCTGAGCCAAGAGCACTCGCACTGAGCCCTTCTCCTGCGCTGCTGCTGTTGCCTAGCAGTCTGCAGCATGTGTTTGCTTCGGTTTGGGGGAAATGGCTTAGTGGTCAACATTAATGAGCAGTGGTAATGCATTTTCAGATACGGGAACTGATATGTTGTCGGTCCCCTAGAGGGACACCCTCCTGAAAGCTGTCGCAGAACAGCAGGGCCCATGGCTACTGTCGTGTGCTTGCCACACTCCTCCCATGGCAACTAAAGAAAGTACCCACATATACATCCAGTTCTTGGGACTCTAGAGGAGGATGACTACTTTGTAAAAGGCTGGGGGCTCAAGTTATTCTAGATCTGACACTCAGGTGCTGTGTCAGCTGCACTTTGAACCACTTGGCACCACTGTGTGGACTTTAGTTTTATAAAAATGAATGGTTTCTTAATTTCTCAACCTTCAGGCTTGACATCTCAAGCTGTTTTTTTTTTTTTTTTTTTTTTCTTGATTAGTGGTCAACTCCACATTTGATGTTTTGACATGTGGATTTCAAAACTTATATGGTGGTAAAGCAGAATGTTTCAATTTAATTTCCCATTTTTTTTCCCTAAGCAAAAAATGTTAGTTTTCATATATGCTGCCATTGTGATTCGAACTGAGGCCCTAAGTGGTACTTGTTGTGTCTCTTAAGTGGTTTCGGACACCTCACTGTGAAGCTGTGGTAGACATCCATAAGAAATAGCTTGTTGAGGGATTATGTGAGGGCAAGGTTTGGCTGAAGGAGAATAGAAGGTGTGGAAGGAAGCGAAGATCATCACACTGCCTCCGAATCTCAAATTTGATTCTACTCCTGATCCTGTGACTTAAGTTGTCATTCTCCTTTACTGCTGTGGGGTGTGCTCTGGGCCTGGCTGATAGGACGTTCTTTGTACTCCACACATTTATGCTGGTGGGAGTTGGATGGCTAGTGCTTTGTGCTTTGTCTCAGAAATTTTGTGGACTAAATGTAATATGGGCAGTGAATGGGTTTTTCTGGAAGATGTTAGGCTTGGAGGGTGGTTTGGGTTTTTTCTTTCTTTCTTTCTTTCTTTCTTTTTTTTTTTTTTTTTTTTAGACGGAGTCACGCTCTTGTTGCCCAGGCTGGAGTGCAATGGTGCGGTCTTGGCTCACTGCAGCCTCCGCCTCCTGGGTTCAAGCAATTATCCTGCCTCAGCCTCCCAAGTAACTGGAATTTCAGGCATGTACCACCACGCCCAGCTAATTTTGTATTTTTAGTAGAGATGGGGTTTCATCGTGTTGGTCAGGCTGGTCTTGAACTCCTGATCTCAGGTGATCTGCCCACCTCTGCCTCCCAAAATGCTGGGATTACAGGCATGAGCCATTGTGCCCGGCTGGTTTGAGTTTATTTATTTATTTATTTATTTATTTATTTATTTTTTATTGCATTTTAGGTTTTGGGGTACATGTGAAGAACATGCAAGATTGTTGCATAGGTACACACATGGCAGTGTGGTTTGCTGCCTTCCGTCCCCTCACCTGTATCTGTCATTTCTCCCTATGCTATCTCTTCCCACCTCCCCACCCCGCTGGTTTGAGTTTTTAAGAGTCTTTTTCTCAGGTTACAAATGGATTTCTTTTTTTTTTTTCTGAGGCAGAGTCTCACTCTGTCACCCAGGTTGGAGTGCAATGGCACGATCGATCTCGGCTCACTGCAACCTCCACCTCCCGGGTTCAAGCGATTGCTCTGTCTCAGCCTCCCGAGTAGTTGGGACCACAGGCATGTTCTACCACACCCAGCTAATTTTTTGTATTTTAGTAGAGATGACATTTCACCATGTTGGCCAGGATAGTCTTGATCTCCTGACCTTGTGATCCGCCTGCCTCGGCCTCCCAAAGTGCTGGGATTACAGGCGTCAGTCACTGCGCCCGACCAGGAATGAATTTTATAAAATGGGCAGGGGTGATACCATAGTTTCTTCTAAGAAATGTACAGAGAGTTCAACCTGAGGAAGCTATTTGAAAGTAAACTTTAGAAAACAAATACAGAACTAGATAAATAAATGGTGGTGGCAACAACAACAAATATAGAAAGAGGAGATTTTTAAAAATATCTTATTGCTTATGAATGGGAAATATGTAGCCATTTTGAGCTTCAAAGAACTTTTGAGGGAGTTCTCAAAGGACAGTACCTGTCTTTAGTAGTTAAATCCTTGATATCTATTTTTCTTCTTTTGCTTTTTAAAGAATTACAAAAATAGTATATGGATTTATAGAAAAATCAGACCACTTAAAAATTTATCAAGTGGCTGGGTAAAGTGGCTCACACCTGTAATCCCAGCACCTTGGGAGACTGAGGCGGGTGGATCACCCGAGGTCAGGAGTTCGAGACCAGCCTGGCTAATATGGTGAAACCCTGTCTCTACTAAAAATACAAAAATTAGTGGGCTGTGGTGGCTTGCACCTGTAGTCCCAGCTAATTGGAAGGCTGAGGCAGGAGAATTGCTTGAACCTGGGAGGCGGAGGTTGCAGTGAGCCAAGATCACGCCACTGCACTCCAGCCTGGGCAACAGAGTGAGACTCTGTCTCAAAAAAAAAAAAAAAAAAAAATCACCAGGTAAAAAAATGAAAGCTCCCTGCTTATTCTCTGCTCCCACTACCCAAAATAACCACTGTTAATAGCTTAATGTAGATCCTTCTACATCATCTGAGACTAAACTGTGTACTTTTTGTGTTTGTAACTAACAAACAGGATAGTGTTTTGTTGTTGTTTTTGAGACAGAGTCTTGCTCTGTTGCCCAGGCTGGAGTGCAGCAGTGCAATCTTGGCTCACTGCAACCTCTACCTTCCGGATTCAAGCTATTCTTGTACCTCAGCCTCCCTAGTAGCTGGAATTACAGGCACCCTCCACCAAGCCTGGCTAATTTTTGTATTTTTAGTAGAGACAGGGTTTCACCGTGTTGGCCATGCTGGTCTTGAACTCCTGACCTCAGGTGATCCGCCCGCCTCAGCCTCCCAAAGTACTGGGATTACAGGCGTGAGCCACCGCGCCCAACTTCAGGATGGTGTTATATATGCATATTCTGCATTTATCCATCTCATATATTCATCTCTGCCTCATTTCTTTTAAATAGCAGTGTAGTCCAGGGCTGATTTACCATCGTGCATTTCATTGTCTCTCTATTGGATTTCCTAGTGGTTTGTTATTAAAAATACTACAGGATTGAAATTCCTCGTGTACCAGTCTTTTTGAAGAATGGCTGCCTAGACTTGGAATTTCTGGTGGGTACCACCACATCACTGTCCAAAATGGCTATCCCAGTTCCCACAATATTCTGAGAAAGTGCCATTGTCCCATACCCTCCCAGAATTGAAATATACATCTTTTAAATTCGTGCTGCTTAGATTATTACTGAGGCTAAACCTCAGTAATCATTGTCACAGCTCTTAACGTATTAAAGATGTTAACTGTCATGCAGATATTTTCCTGTTTTGTCATATGTCTTGGTTCTTGTCTTTCTGATACAGAAAATTTCTGTTATGATTTCTTTGTTTTTATACTTAGGAAATCCTTTCCTACTCTTAACAGATCAGTAGTCACCTATATTTTCTTCCTAAAATATCTGATGATGTATTATAATTATACACACATATTTAATAAATATAAAAGGGCCAGATGCGGTGGTGCATGCCTGGGATCTCAGCACTTTCAGAGGCTTAGGTGGGTGGATCGCCTGAGGTCAGAAGTTTGAGACCAGCCTGGCCAACATAGTGAAAACCCGTCTTTACTAAAAATACAAAAATTAGCCAGGCATGGTGGTGGATGCCTGTAATCTCAGCTGCTGGTGAGGCAGGGGAATCGCTTGAACCCAGGAGGCAGAGGTTGTAGTAAGCCAAGATCACACCACTGCACTTTAGCCTGGGCTACAGAGTGAGACTCTGTATTAAAAAAAAAAAAAAAAAGAATTTTATAGGTAAGTTGTCCTGTGTTTTTCCTATGATTAAAAAAAAATACCTGTTTTGTATTTAACTTTGGGGTGGGATGAGGTTTAGAGCCCACTTAGCGAGTTGTGTCTAAGACACTTGGTGAACCAGTCAACCCAGTCTTCACCTTTAACAAATGCCGAGTTCTTCAAGTGAGCAAAATATCTCTTAAACTTTTTCCTATTTTCTCTATAAAGTTGTTTTTTTCTGAATTTTTTCTTTGTGAGGCTTGATGGCCGGCCTGTCAGCAGACAGTTGTTCATTTACCCAACAAATATTTGAGCATCTGCTTCAAGCCAGGACAGTGCTGAGCCCTAGAAGTGGTACCTTCTCCTTGTCTGGGGGTGGGGCTACAGTGCTCATTCCAGAAGACTTAAGAAAATAGCAGATCGTCACAAAAGTAGGTTTTAGATAAACGAGGAGGAGTCCAGAGGGTTGTGTATATGTGTTTTAAATCTGACATAAGTTGGAACTTTAAGGTACACTGTGACATAGCATAGTTTGTTTTCCAACTCATGTAATTGTGGGCTGATTTTTGTCTTGAATTACGATAATGGTAACTTTTTTCTGTTGAAACTATTTTATATTCATCTAGCTTGGTTGGGATGCAATAAAAGTTTTATACTGGTAAAAATGATAATTTTTTTCTATGATGATTTTGAAACTTTTCTGTAACAGCTGATAAAAATAAAGACTGAGGCTGGGTGTGGTGGCTAGTGCCTGTAGTCCCAGCTACTTGGA